CCTCTCCTCCTCACCCTTCCCCTGCCCTCTGTCCCTTCTGCTTCCCCTGCCGGGCCCCGTCACCTCCGCCTGCGGACGCACTGGCCCCCGCGGCTGTGGGCCCCCTCCCCAGCTTTGCCGCCCCCGTGCTGCCCCGTGGGTGGGCACCCGCGTACTGCCTCCAGAGCCCTGCTGTCCGGTGGATCTGCATCCCCTTTTGCCCCTTACAGCCCCGCTCCCCCACGGCTGTGCACCACTTTGCTCCTTCCCACCACCGTAGCCCCTGTTCCCTGTGGCTGTGCATCCCTTCCCTACACCTGTAGCCCTGTGCTCCCACGCCTGAGCACCGGCTTGCATCCCTGTAACCAGAGTCTCCCGTGGCTGTGAGCACCTTGCTTTCCCTTCTCCCCCCTTGCCCTGCCACAGCTCTGCGCTCCCATGGCTGGCAATGCGTTGCTCTTCCCTCCCATAGTCCTGTTCTCTCATGGCTGAGAACCCCTTCACACCCCACCTTCTCCCCCTCCCTCCCCCCAGCCCTGATGCACATAACTATGCATCGTTTTGCTCCCTGCTGTGGCCGTGCTCATCCTGCTCATGGCTGTGCAGCCCCTTTTTCTCCCCACAGAGTCCTGCTCCCACTATGCTATGCACTTCTGCCTCTGCATTGCTCTGCATGCTGTTCTTTGTGGATCAGCGTCATCTTGCCCCTTCCTCCAAGCCCGCTATCCCTTTGCAGTCTTTGCCTTACCTTGCTCCAGTTCCCTGCCATGGCATCAGCTGCATGCCTCCAGCTCTGCCCTGGCATCCCCATACTACCTTGCACCCCTGTCCTACGGCTCTGGACTTCTTTCTCCCCTCTGCCATGCCTTGATGCACCCCCAGTATGGAGCTCTGCACTCTCTCCCCTTCCCTGCGGCTTTTCCTGTGGGGTCCCTACAGCCCCACCCCGGGGAGAGGAGCCATCTCGTGGGAGGAAACTTGTCCAGGGCCTCCCCTACGTCCATCGCCTCTGGAAAGAGAGACAGTCCTGATCCCAACCCTTTTCCCTATTCCATAGCCAAGGGTTCAGTTGCCTCCCTGCATCCTTTTCCCTTGTGTGGAACAGGGACCCATGTACATCTCTCATTTCCCAGCTTGTTTTTCTTTCTTACTGCTCCCCCCTTGCTCTGCTTTGCCCTTAATGACTCCTTTTTCTTCCCCCAGAGTGGTGCTGCCAAGCAAGGCACAATCGGGAGCTCCACCCAGCGCTCCAGTTTGTGGCTCTGCTTCCCATTTTAACTTTCCCTTTGAACAACACGACCAGAGCTGTACTGTTTTACGTTGGCTCCTTTCTGAAGGCTGTAGGACGAGCGATCATGACTAACGCTATGGCTGTGCCTTCCCTGCTTATAAATGTTAGTTTCCTTTGGCTGTGTCACTTGCGGTGGCTGAATCCAGCTTCCAGCAGGCTGCTTATGTGGGAAAGTCCGTCTCTGCTGTCCCAGATGACTCATCACAGAGATGAGTTTTTGTAGCTTATCCGTTCAGGCAGACTTTTTTTTTTTTTTTCTTTAATAGGGGCTCTGTCCTTCCAATGCAAAACACTGCAGAGAGCTGTCCAGTTGCAACAGGGAACATCCTTTCCATACAGCAAATTTTGCTGCAAAGAGGAAGGCAGTCAGCTTTATGGTGAATGAAGAAATGGTTTGAATTTCAGAGAGGAAGATACATGCCAAATGTTAGGGAAAGATTTTTAAATTGTTCGGTCACTGCAGTAGACTGCCAGGGGAGATTGTGGAGCCTGTGTTTGTGGTTTGCTAAAAAACATGTTAGATAAACATCTATAAGGAGTGGCTTAAGGAAAGCTGATATGGACTTGGAGCACTGAGAGTGAAGTTGATGTTTTGAAGTCTTTTCCAATCATATTTTCTATGATTCCTGTGCAAATTGCTTTTCTTAAGTGTCCTTTCTAGCTCCTTATGAATTTGAATTGCTGTTTGCTGTTATGTTCTTAAGTGAGAATGCAGGCTTATTTGTGGGTAACATGAGACCAAAAGCAGAAGAAATAGAGGAACAGATGATTTAAATACCTGGCTTGTTCATAGGTTTCAACTGATTCTGTTTTTCAGTGAGATTTTGTGTTCTACAAAACATGGGGGCATGATGTTAATAGTAAGCTACTGAACCTTTCATTTGCTTTCCTTATATGTGCCAAGATGTGGTATAATAATTGAGCTTTGTATCCCATATATGTAACTGAAGTATAAAAAATGGTTGTTTATTTAATTCCTTAGCCATGAGCAATCGTGTGTCTCCTCAGGAAATCAAATCAAAGGGTACTTGCTGAATATTTTATCAGCAACAGTTTGGTCTGGTGTATCGATTGCAGAAACCTTGCTGCCAACAATACAGCATTATGTTAATGCCTTGTGTCTGTCTTATCCTCTCTTTTATCATTAACAATAAATGTTGTATTCCTCATCTACAGTTGTCTTTATACTTCCCCTCTGTTACTTCCTCTTAAGCTTGCATTAGGTAGGACTCCCTCAGACATTCCTTCATGTTGCCTCACTTCTTGATTCTCCCTGTGTAGCTTCATCTTAGTATTTGACATACAGTCTGTTCTCTTATCATGACTCCTTACCCTCATGCCTTGTGACTTTATTTTTCAAGTTGATTTCTCATTAAGTTTACTCTTCAGCTCTCTAGCCTATTTGATCTTCATCTGCTAATCGTCATTTCTGTTCCTGGGAGAAGTGATTACTTCTGTTTTGATTTTGCCAGCCATCTTATCTGATTACTGCATCTCCAAGTCCCTTTCTCATGACTGCCACCTCCTCATCTCTTTTATGATAATGCACCTACCTGTGACTGGTTGTTGAACCAGGCAGATTTCTTTGACATTTTCTTCCTAACTCTTATTTCATACCCAGTTATCCTTTCCCCTCCACCAATACACTTCCCAATTCCTTTTGCTTTACAGGCTCTCTAGTGCTCTGCCTTAGGCTTTTTCCTGTATCTCTTCCCCTGCAGAATCTAAAGGTTTCTGAGAAAAACTGATTACTATTGGCATGTTTACCTTTCCTCGGCACTCCTGTCTGCTACTTGCAGTGATGGATTCCTGTGTTTGCTCTGTGTTTTTTCTGCCTTTAACTGCTTAGCCTGACCCCATTCATTCAATTTTTCTGTTACAACTCCTAATTTCTGGTTTTTACCTCTTGCTGCCATCTTAAGCCCTTCCTAATTTTGTTCTGAGTTGCTGTTCTCCATTGTTAAGGTGGTCAGCTCTAGTCTGCTTACCTTCTTTTCCAAACTCCTAGAACAGAAAAATTTACGTTTGTTGTCATACATTCTCTCCTATTTCTTTGTACTAAATTCGTTCAAGTCCAGTTTCTGTACTCTGCCGAAATTGCCTTCATTAAGATCTCTACAGGCTCCTTCTGGCCGAGTTGCAAGGATTCCCCTTCTTTCTTACCCTCCTTGACCTCTGCTGCTTTCGATACTGCATGTAATCCTCTACAACTTGATGTCTTATTCTCTCTGGGCTTCTGTAATACTGTCCTCTTGTTACTCTTCACTGCCTTCTACTCTCTGATTATTATTTCTTCTCCTCTACTGCTGTCTGTGCTTGTACTTCCATGCTTTTTCCCCCCCTTTGGTTAATTTACCTCCTATTCTACTAAATTTTTCAATTTAACTCCTATAAGTAGCATTAATGTGAATTTAATACAGCCGGATGAGGCTTTCTTCCAGGTGTGCTCATTTTTGTCTCACCTCTCCCCATCTTGGGCAAGCCTTGTGCAATGTCAGCTAGACTTTGCAGTTGTTTTAGAGCAGTCTCTGTCCTCTTCATTAGTTACCATGACCTTAGCCTCCTAAGGCTTCTTTGAACTGTAGTTGTTTGGGCAAAGTGTGGTGACATAGATGATACGAAAACCTCATAAAGGAAATAAGGGCAAAAAAACCCTAAACTGACCCTGCATATCCCCTTTTTTGCAGTGCTGCTGGTTTATGTGATTTCAGCCCCCTGTCCACCCTTGCCATATTTTTATCATGAGCCTCTCAAGATGGTGCTGTCAAGGTGCATCTCTTTCATCATGGATCTACTGTGCAACACAGTTTGAAGTTTTTACTCATTTTTGATAGTTTTCTTTTGCTGGTTTGGAAGTGATCTTCTCTTCTTAAATGTTGAGATCTTTTGAGGGAATGGTGCTGAAGCTCCAAGTTGATAGAATAACCCAATTTCTTTCAAATCTTGAGGTTCATTAAAGAAGAAAAATGGTTTTTGCAGTCCAGCGGCAATACTCTCTTCCCTTTCTTCCATTCTTCTCCTTCATCAGTGGTATTTTCTGCTGTCTCACAGTAGTAGTCTGTTGTAAAGCTGGATTTGCGGGAGGTACTGTTGAAGTTCATAGCTCCTCTGTCCCTGTAACTGTTATGCTGTGCTGTAGGGTCTGTTTGTTTGAAGTAATCCTTACAGGTTTTTGGTGGTTTTGGTGTGGGTTGCTTTGAGCAAGCAAATTTAATTCACAGTGTAGCTTTTTGCTCCACCGGTTTGGTTTATAGCACAGCTGTACAAAGTTTGCATTGTTAGATCTGGGGGAACAGAAGTTCATAGTTCATGAAAGTGAACAAGCTGTGGAAGAAGTGGACCTTAAACTGCTTTCACTTGGGTTACTTGCAGTAGAGAATCCATTCTCCCTTCCTGCTCTTCTGCAATTGCAGTGACTGATTGTAGTTAAAAGGCATTTGCTTTAGCACAATGTTACAGGAAACAAGACAAAGTATTGAGGTCTTAGTGTTTGTGTTGGGTCTGGAAAATACTGTGTGTGTCTGTTTATTCTGTCCTCACAGCTACTGGCTTAATCAAAGATATCTGTGAGAGGAGATCGAAATCTTGCTGGAAATGGAAGGCATGACTGGGGTAAACAAAGCACATATTATTCTTGGTGGTTTTAGTGGTGGCCTTGGTTTTTACAAGACTAAAAGAACTTCCCATTATAAAACAAGATAAAGACAGATAATCCGTTAACTTTCCCTTAAGCACCTGCTGCTAAAATCCTGGAGTTCCTAACTTTAAAAAAAAAAAAAAAAGTAGTTCTGGTGAAGTGTCTCTTCTGAGCTGGTGCTGACAATCCAGATCATTAATTGTACTTCAGCGATATCTTCATTTGTCAGAGGTTCTTGCAGTCAAATGTCTGAATATAATGGGCATCAAACCAAACCCATTTCATTGTAGGCAAGGGTAGTATCAAGGAAGAAGACAACCAGTTGAATAATAGTGTTGATGGGCAGAAACAGAATGAGTTGTGAATTCTACTTCCAGGAGCTAGAAAGCTAGATTTCCCTTTCAACACATTGACAGTAGGTGAAGCTTCTGTTCTAGCCTCTGGCAAGTAGATACAGTATAAAGGATGAAATGTACAAGCAGGATCCAAGAACAGTGCTAACAAGTCAGACTTCTCATGAACTTGTTGACTACTTTTCTGTATTTCTGGTCTGTGTGCTCTATTCAGTTGTTGTGCAGCCTCCCAGGTGTCCATTTACAAATGTCACAAGCAACTGCACAACCCATGCAAACAATTCCTTTTGATCTTAGCCTAAAAGAAGTATTTCAACTATGTAGCTACTTGTAAGTGCTTCCTCAAATTCATTGAGCTTTTCACAGTGATGACTAGCATCTTCTGAGTTTCAGACTGTCTTTCAGTTGTGTCACATCTTAAAAGTTTTAAATAGCACATTATTTCCTTTACTTTGTCAAGTGACTCAAATACTGATTTATTTTTTTTTAATTTTTTCTTCTCGTGCTTCAAGAAATTATAGTTTGGGTTAAGAACAAGTGGGGGACATTATATCCTTACAAGATAAATTTTCTGTAAAGTGAGAACAGTTTTGTAAAAGATTGAATAACTTGCATTGTTGATGGTGAATGTTAAATCCAGATCTTATGTTACTAATCTAATTGGCATCTAGAATGCTGTCAGCCGTCAGACTTTTAGATTTGTCATTGTAAGTATTATTCAACTGACCGCTTTTATTTTTCATTATGAAGAAATGACAGTGTTATGTAGTGAGGATGTCAACTGTCTGTGTGCTTTTTACTCTGAGGGCGGTAACTGTGCATACCTTTTTCTCTGTTGGGCTGACTATAATTTTTGTTGCTTTGAACTTACCCCAGTGGTTTATTTTGGGAAAATCAAAACTTGCAAACCAACTTAACAGAAACCGTGTCTTTCTCATTTTGCGTTTGAATCTTTCTCACTTGAAGGAGCTGTTGGAAAATTGTGGAAGTCTTATGCTTTGCTTCTAAACAGTCATGCAGAGCTTTGCCACATGACTTCTGCCCGCTGACTAAACTGATTGCTAATTTTTACTTCTATTTGATGAAACTATTCTGAGAATTTTTTTGTGTATA